GATAGCTTTCAAGATTAGGACGTCCCACTGAATCCCCCAGAGATAGTCTTTTTTTTATTTCTGGATTTTCATGACAAATATCTTCTAACTTTCTTTTCATACCATCCCTGTGTTTCTTCTGGGCAACTGCGTTTTGAACCTTCTGTTTAAAGACTGTATTGCTGTTTTTATTTCCTCGCGCAACTTAATGATCTATTTATCAACTTCAGCACGGCTTGGCATAGTATCTCTGGCAGAATACAAAGCATTCAGATTTTTTTCGAGCAGAGCAATCGTATTTTTCATGGCTTCCTGAGAAGGTTTTGCTCTCTGTTTATCTGTATTTTTTATTAATTTCGCATTGCTGTTGTGATTCATTACCGGGTTTTATTTTATCTTCTTCCTCTTTTTTAATATTTTAAGCTGAATGTATAATTTGTGTTTTTTCTGCAGGTTTACAGGTTGCCTAAAAATAAAAACTTTCTATGGCTTCTGCTAAAGATTCACTTATTAAGCTACATAAATACAAAGTATGTCAATATATATATATATATATATATGGTAAATACCAAACCCTATGGCTTTAAATTTAATATGTTTAAATGAGCAATTCGTTCCAGTCACAAAATACAGGGTGTTAGTTTTCTGTATATATGTATAAAACTAACATCCTGTACTTTGTGACCAATTGACGGAATCAATCATAAGAAATAAATCTATAATATAATGAATATTACCTCTATACTTTGAGATAGGCCATAATATTTTCTAATCAGTAAAGAGAAACTTTTGGCGATTTCTAATATTTATAGTACTCATAGGTACCTAAAATGATTTCGTAACTCACCTTAGAAAAAAAATTTAGTAGATTGGATTTATTCTTAGTCGCCGCTTGCAATTCTTCTTCGATTCTCTTAGATACAATAATAACTAGTTCCTTGTCGGATTTTGCTTGTAATTTGTAATTTCGCCACACTTCGTTAACTAACTTTTGTACATTTTGTACTTTCGTACTGGTATGAGATTTTTTAAAACTTTCAAACAATTTTTGGTATAACTTGTATTTGTCTATGTGAAACGACATCTTATTTAAACATTAAACTTTGGCTAATGGAATCAATGGTAACACAAATGTTAACTTGCTTTACTATGCTTACAATACGTCTACTCGCTATAGTATCCAAACGAAACAATACACTGATAGAGGAAATTTAGACAAGTGAACACCGCGCGGTAATTCCCCTACTCCGTTCTAAAGCGAGTAGGGGAATTACCGCACGCTGTTCACTAAACGTATGCATTATTTGCGGGAATCCCCGAAAATGCGTTTCGTTTTCAAGCAAAGACAATGTGAGGGTTGCCATTCGTGTAAAAAAGTAAATAACTACCGATGTCGTAATCATCATCTAGACTCCCCTACCCCCCATGTCATCCAAAATAAGCAAAGCAAAGACCCCCCCGCCACCCCCATAGTGCTCACGTAATACTTGAACGGCCCCTTATACTTGATCAGCAGCGAAATCGGTTGTTGCCCATAAGTGTTTTCCTGATGCCTTTACATTGATTATACTTTATTTTATTATTATTGTATAGAGGTATAACTTTGCCATAAAGCTATCGAGTTGAAACGTACGCTTCTCGATTATATTTTTCCTAAATGATATGTTTTCAGGTGAGAATCCAATATCAAAAATAGCACCTGCGTCGGCTGGCCTCCCCGTCCACGCTTTCCAAGAGCGTAAGAATGTGGACAGCGTACTACACGAGAGTCTCAAGCCAATGTTGACGCTCATGAGGGTTCTTGGTATATGTCCCATTACCCAGAGTGGCCCAACATTTATCGTCACTCTCCAACTCATGATATATTCAGTGGTCGTATTTCTCATAGTGTGTGGATATATCGGGTATATCAAGTGGGACAAAGTTGAAATGGTGAGGTATGTATCCGTATGAGGTATATTTTAAAAAGTCTTGGTTTAGATACGGTGTCTTATCAAAAAAGAGGAAGAAGATTTCATTAAAATCACAGAAAACTAAGGACTATAGACATTATATGTAGTGTTTTCAGACATTAGGTTACTTCTACGATTAGTCTAAAACAATGACGTCTTACCCAAATAGACCCTGCAAGTCATTCATAAGTCCGCCGTTTGTTATGTTCGCGAACCTCAGTGGCGGGAAATACTAACTTTCATTCATAATTTTATGAAATTGGCCCCAGGCTTGGAACAGCACAACCCTCAATGTCATCTACGGAATTCCAAATCACAGGCGTATCACAATGTGGGCCATAAAGGGCTATAAAAGCCGATAAAGTTCTCAGTATATTGGAGGTACAAAAAACGTCTTTCTTGTAGGTATACAATTATTAAGGTGACCATACGTCACACTTTCGGACTGTTCCTGACAAAAACCTGGCGACATAAAAATGTCCCTCTTTTCGGTCGTGGTGTCTCCAACAAAAAGCATGGGGACGAAGAACATCCTACTTTTTCTAAACCATACGGAATACGTAAAATTTTTGAACGACATTGATATGTATATATATATATATATATATATATACAGGGTGACTTCGAAGTTGAGTCATTTATTTTAACAGTGAGTAGATCTGATCAAAAGAGATGTTTTTTTCCTTTACCATTTTTCTGGTAAAATTAAAGTAACAAAGTTATAGCCCTTTGGAAGTTTGAGTACCGCCCTGTCTCAATAATAATATTATGTGCTCGTGTTTATCAACAACAGATATAATCCGCCTTATCCGTTCATCGCATCGGAAACAAAAAAGCGAAAGAATTTGGAACGATGTTTTTAAAATTATTTTCTTCAGTTGTATACAGTCAGTGTCAGTCGGTAGTCGGTAACGCGTAAGTGAATAGTCGTGTCTGTTGCGTGGCTTAAATCAAAAATGGCACATGTTTACGAAAATGCTGAACTTGTGGACATGGTTCTTATTTACGGGGAGTCTTTACAAAATGCTGCCGCGGCATCACGGATCTATGCGGATCGGTTTCCCAATCGAGTGCAACCAACCCCTCGTGCCTTTGTTAATGTAGTGCAAAGAGCTCGTGAATCAGGTGACTTAAGACCTCACAGAGGAGATCATGCCGGTGCTCCAAGACCGCACGATCAAATAGAACTAGAAGAACAAATTTTAGAATTAGTAAGTGATGATCCAACAGTAAGCACCAGACAAATTTCAACTCAATTGGCGATTAGTCAATATAAAACTTGGAAAACTCTACGTGAAAATCAGTTCTATCCGTTTCACATACAAACAGTGCAGGCCTTACAACCGGAAGATCATGAACAAAGGGTTGACTTTTGCAATTGGCTTTTAAATAAACATCAAAATGATGACAAATTTTTAAATCAAATTTTAGTGAGTGATGAAGCCCTCTTTACTAGAAACGGAATTATTAATTCACGTAATTCTCACGTTTGGGCTATTGAAAATCCCCATGAAATAAGGGAAACCAATTTTCAACAGCGATTTGAACCAATCCACCTGTGGGCGGGAATTGTTAATGGAATTTTAGTGGGGCCTTTTGAATTACCAAATCGCTTAACTGGTGAAAATTATCTTGATTTCTTGCAACACAATTTGCCTGGTTTACTGGAAGATGTGCCTTTAAATATTAGACAAAACATGTGGTTTTTACAAGATGGGGCACCACCCCATTATGCAAGAAATGTGCGTGAATTTTTAAATAGACAATTTAATAATCGTTGGATCGGCCGTGGCGGTTTTGTACCTTGGCCGCCAAGGTCTCCGGACTTAAATCCTTTAGACTTTTGTTTGTGGGGTTGGCTAAAAACTCTAGTGTATAAAACACCGGTTAATACACGCGAAGAATTACGTGCTCAAATTGAGGAAATGAGTACAGTGATCAGAAATCAACCAGTGATTTTATTGCGTGCTTGTAAAGAGACATGGCTAAGACGCGCCCAGCTGTGCGTCGAGCAAAACGGAAATCATTTCGAACAGTTTTTGTGACATGCTTTTGGGCGCACAGGTCCGCACTGAAATACTTGTCGGGAGGATACTTTATAAAACAAGGTAACATTTTTTTTTTAATTTTTTTTTATTTCTACACACATATTTTGGTTTATGTTCCTTCTACAATCATTATCTGAAAATTAATGACTCAACTTCAAAGTCACCCTATATATAACAATGATAGTTTGTATAATTTTGACTATTGTACCATGTATCCAGCTTTCACCATATTACTGGGTGTTTCCCTCATCCTCAACGTAAATAACATTTAGCAACATCCTCACATACTACTGTAAGTTAATTTAAATTCATTTTGCACAATTGCTGCTACTTTTCTCAATGTAATTGCAGCTCATGATGATGATGGCAAAGACCATTGAAAGCTAGAGAGATTAAAAAAGTATGAAGAGTCCTCCTTGCTTAAATTTTGTCGAAGTACCCAACAAAAGGCGGAAGCTTTAATTTTTCACCTAACTGGTATAGACGACAATGACCACGTCTCAAACGTCTCAATATATATATATATATATATACAGGGTGGCGCATCGAAAACGAAACAGACGCATTTACTGGCAGCTCGTTTTTTTTTTTGGGAAAATACTCAATTTTTTTTCTCGAGGGTGACACAAGTCTGGCAAAAAATCACGTTAACACGTGCAGCCCCCTGGGCGGGGGTGACACCAACCCTAGAATCTTAAATGAAGATTTATTGATTTAAAGCTTAAAGTAGACTTTAATAGGTACATCAGATTAGTTTGTACTACTTTCAGAAGAAATTTGACTAAAAGAATTTACTGAATAAGTAAATGCTTTTATTCACTACGCCCAAGGTTTGTTTATCATTTTGTTGTTGAAAATAGCTATTGGAGTGTTTTTTTGTGGCACAAAAGTTGTTTCTTGAAGAAAGATGAGGAAATATCTCGTACTTATTTTAAATAGGAATTTAGTACATAGTTTGCGACTGATTTGACCAAACTTTGTTGGTAAAATAACTTGAAACGCTTTATTACATAAATTAACCATGATATATTCCACAGCAGAAAGAGTTGAAATTAAGGAAATATGTATTTTACGGAAATACTCAGTGCGAACAGCAGAAATATTTAATGAGTTACATGAGAACAGTAACGTGCATCGAAAATATGTTCTAGATCTAGAACTAGTAACTAAATTTCGGGAAACTGGGTCAGTCGCCAATAAAAAACGCAACATTGAAAATCCCATAAGGAACGAAGCAATAGAAGTGGGGGTTTTAGGGCAAGTTTATGTAGATCCTACGTTAAGTACCCGCAAATTGGAGACGGTGTGGTGTTAGTCGACGTACTGTCCAACGGATTCTAAAGGACCATAGTTTTCATTAGTATAAAATTCACCTGGTACAAGAACTTAATGAAGACGATTTTGATCGGCGATTACAATTTTGTGAAGACATGAGCGAACGAATTATAAACGATGAACATTTTCAATTCAACACTTGCTTTTCCGACGAATGTTCCTTTTTCTTAAATGGCGTAGTAAATCGTCATAAATGCCGATATTGGTCCGATTCAAATCCCAGAATTTATCATGAGGTAAATTCGTCTTTCAAATACCTGGTTAACTCAGATTCTGTAATCAACAAAAATAATGGGACAATCTGCCTGTCGTTAAACTTTTGTGAATGTATAATCTTGGTTATCGCTGTCACGGATTTGACGGATTTTTGGAAGAGTGGAATGAACTCAAGCTTCCACAATGATTTGTGTATTTTTGCGGAGCAAATAATAATATTGTCATTAACCAATTGTATTGTTATAGAACGGCTGAAGGGAGATTCGAAGAAGCAGTGATTGACTACTTATTCACCATCTATTTGGTACCTATTGTGATCAATATGTTATCATGGTACGAGGCCAGAAAACAGGCCAGAGTACTGACAAATATCATGGCGTTCGAAAAGGTGTATTTCAAAGTAACCAGAAAGAGATTCAAACGATTCCTTGGTAATAAACCATTCATTACTACAATAGGATTACTCATTCTGGCCACTGCAACCATGACAGTAACTCATATTACTATGGTGCATTTCAAGCTGCTACAGGTAACAATTCTATCAGTATAGCCTTACATGGTGTTTATTGGAAAACTTTCCACAACGGATTTATCGAAAAACCACTGATTAAAAGGAAAAAACGCCGATACACATCAGAAGATTTGCCAAGAGGGACAATTTTTTAACCAAATACTACTTCAGCTCCTTTCACCCTCTGCCCCCAGGGTCATATTAAACACTTATTGAAATAAAAAGTCATATTTTCGCGTGTTTTTGTTTTCTATTTGAACCAATTAAGATAAATAAAGATTTTTCTAATTTTCTTCAAAACGAATTGACTGATCTAAAAATCAAACGTCAAAATGAAGGACTTTGAAAGACCTTTCAAACAAACTTTTACTCGATACCTCTTGCCATTTAAAATTTTTAAGGGAATGGCCCTGGGGGCCGAGGGTGAGAGGGGGTGAAGTAGTGTTTGGTTAAAAAGTTGTACCCCTTGACAAATCTTTTGATGTGTCTCGGCGTGTTTTTTTTAATCAGTTGTTTCCGATAAATCTGTGATAGGAACTTTTCAAATGAACTTCCTTATTGTCCAATAGGGACGCAGGAAAGTAAACGTCAATTTGACATAGACGCCATCTTTGTTTTCTGTCACCGACATGTCATTTTGTTAGTTGAATGTTTACCATTGATCGCTATGGAGTCGTATTCGATTGAAGACCGCATTAAAGTTATTCAAGAGCACTACAAAAATGGTGCAAAAATGAAAAACACGTTTCGCGCGCTTCGTGAACATTTCGGTCGCAACAACCGCCCAAACGAAACAACCATTGGTCGTCTGGTGCGTAAATTCGAGGCAACAGGTTCTGTGGCAAATCTGCCAGGCTCTGGCCGGCCAAGGAGCGTTCGCACACCGGAAAATATTGCTGTTGTGAAGGAGAGTGTGAGAGACGATCCGAAACAATCAACAACGCGTCGATCCCAAGAATTGGGCATTTCGAGAACCAGTTTGCTCCGCATTCTCCACAAGGATTTGAATGTACACGCCTACAAGATCCAATTGACGCAAGAGCTGCGTCGGGCCGACCATTTTTCGCGCCGAACGTTCTCAGATTGGCTCCTTGAACACCGCCAAATTGAGATGCCAAATGTTCAGCGACGAAGCGCATTTCACTTTGAATGGGACGGTAAACAAGCAAAACTGCCGAATCTGGGCGAACGAAAATCCCCGTGAGTATCAAGAGCAGCCGATGCATCCTCAATAAGTGACTGTGTGGTGTACATTGTGGTCAAAAGGCATCATCGGACCTTACTTTTTCGAAAATGCGGCCGGGGACGCCGTTACCGTCAATTCTGATCGATATCACGTGACGATAGAGGACTATTTTTTGCCGCAACTTGAAGGATTGGATATGGACGATGTTTATTTCCAACAAGACGGTGCAACATGCCACATAACCAACGTCAATATCCATCGATTGCATTCCTTCTTCGGTGATCGCGTGATTTCGCCCAGAGGAAATGTGCCATGGCCACCAAGATCGTGCGATTTGACTCCCTTGGACTTCTTTTTATGGGAATATTTGAAAAGCAAAGTCTACGTCAACAAACCAGCCACCCTCCAAGAACTCAAAAACAACAGCATTGCCGAGATAAATGCCATAGAACCGACCATGTTGCAAAATGTCATTGAAAATTTCGACCATCGCGTGGACGTCTGTAAATCCAGTCGTGGTGAACATTTGAGCGATATTATTTTTCATACATAAATGGTATAAATGAACCTTCAAGATAAAGTACCCAACTTGATTTGAATATCAATATTTCTTGTTTTAATATGCGTTTACTTTTTGCGTTCGTTTTGGACAACCCCATATCTTTCACTAGCGTATTTCAAAATCATGTGCACTTCTAGTCTAAGATTAAAACTGGCTACTCTCAGCCAGGACGAACACAAACGGCAACAGACATTAGTCAGGAAGTTTCTGATAAAAGATCTGCAATTAAGCAACGCGAGGATGCTTGACTCTCGGGAAAGTTGCAAAGTCGCTCAGGAACGGAAAGCGAGGACAACTCCCGCACATCCACGGTCCGGGAGGCATACTCTTTAGGATAGAGAAGGTCGAGGTTTTCGCTGATGATATGGAATGACGCCCAACTATGACCTCGACGAGGAGCAACACGTTGTAAAATCCGTCAGGAGATATTTGGGGGGCAACAGCGTCAGTGGTAGTAGCGCCTCCTTTAGAGATGTTCCCTATTTCCGTCGCACACCAGCAGAGCTTCAAGGTCATATTAAACACCTCAAGGTGCGTAAAGTACCTGGAGAGGATCGAATCACTCATAAGGTGCTGAAGCTGCCTTTGCGGAAGTCCACTTATCTCGTGGCAATAATCAATGCCATGCTAAGGACCCAAAACTTCCCAGCGACCCATTAGTCTATTCTTAGCTCGACGTGATCCTGTTGTGCAATTTGGCTTTGGGTCTGAGCATAGTAAGTTACAAGCGGTTAGGCTTGTTGCGCGAGTAACCAGGGGATTCACCCGTAGCAAAAGTACTGGCATTTTGCTTCTCAAAAGCATTTGACAAAGTGTGGCACACCGGTCCTCTCTACAAATTGAGGGTTTCCCCTGAGGATCCTTCCTGAGTGCGTAGTATTTGTCTTCCATATTTCAGCATATCATCGAGAATATTGTTTCATCCTGGTGCTTTGGAATTTTTCAATGCATCCACCGCTCCGACAGCTTCAGTCAGTGATTGTAAATCAAAAGGATTCCCTTTGATTCTAAAGCCGTTTCGCCGGTTATTTTTCGTAATACCTTAGCTGAATTGACAAATAACTTTAATTCCTGTTTCAGATCATTCCGTTCTGTTATATAAACATAATAACTTATATCTTGGGAGGAATTTGGTACTTATATTGTGATCTCATCGGAGAAACAGCGACGATAATGGCTGCAGATTTTGAATTAGCACTGAAAAATATAGGGCCTGCCAGTCATGTTGCGAATTATAGGTAATATACAATAATCAGTAATTACTAAAAATATGTAGGTTTTATAATCTTCGATTATTATCTGATGCGCATGCGTCGAATTCATCGTAATAAAACTGTTCCAGAACTACCCCAAAACTAGCTGGAACGAAATAAAAAATCACCCTGTTACGTATAACAAACAGGTTTTTTGATAGGAGAAAAGAAGAAGCTCGACAGTATTGCCCTGCCGGCACCTCCTACCTGAAGTGTGAGACTCTCCAAAAATAGTATACTCACTAAAATCCCTCAGTCATTCTACTAGGACAATACTCACATCATTTCTTCATAGTGGGTAGCCGTGTCTGGTAGTAAACCCACCTAACACACTTGAGTAGGTGATTTGAAGTATCCCCCTGTTCATTGCAATATACGCAATAAGCGTACTCCTTTTCTACCTCCTTCAGTTAGCTGTCAAAGCAACCATGTCCAAGTTTTAATATCTGGGATCAGCCTTCTGGTCCAGTTGCATACCATCTCTCCTGCCATCTGACAAAAAGACCCTCTCTTTCGATGCTTGTAGCTTTGACGTCCTTTATAGAGTGCACATCTCTCCGCAGCCAGCAAATCAATTGGCGGGATACCAGCTACCACCAGCAGCGCATCGGTCGACACCGTTCTGTGAGCGCATACCTCGCGCAGCACCACTTTTGGCTGGCTTATCAGTACTAGCTGTTTATAAGGAGTGATTTTTTAAGAGGCATATGATTTGATTTTCAAAAAAAAACACAAACAACTTGAAAAAAAGATTAAATCTTTATTTGAGTCGATAGAACGGTCGATATAATTTAATGTTTAAAGATTATTTCATGTAAATGTTGGCCGCGGCTCCGTTTTAGATGGCCCACATATCGGCCGGTATCTCACGAATAAATGCTTCAATATTGGCTTCCAGTGCGTCAATCGTTGCTGGTTTATCCCTGTAGACATTAGCCTTAACATGGCCCCACAAGAAATAGTCCAACGGCGTTAAATCACACGATCTAGGCGGCCAATTGACGGGCCCCAAACGTGAGATAAACTGTTCACCGAAGTCGCCACTCAATAGGGCCATTGTTTCGTGTGCAGTGTGGCATGTGGCACCGTCTTGTTGAAACCACATGTCAGCCAAGTCTAGTCAAGTTTGTTATCATCGCACGGTAGCGCTCGCCATTCACAGTTACGTTCCGGCCATTGTCGTCTTTGAAGAAGTACGGCCCGATGATGCCACCGGCCCATAATCCACACCAAACAGTGATTTTTTCGGGATGCATTGGTAGCTCTTGCAATGCTTCTGGCTGGTCTTCACTCCAGATGCGGCAATTTTGCTTGTTAACGTACCCATTCAACCAGAAATGAGCTTCGTCGCTGAACACAAATTTTCGATAAAAATGTGGATCTTCCTCCAACTTTAGCAGCGCCCATTCACCAAATTGGAAACGTTGTGGGAGGTCGTGTGGCTTCAATTCTTGCACCAGCTGTATCTTATAAGGTATTACACCCAAATCCTGTCGCAAAATTTTCCACGTAGTGGAGTAACAGAGGCCCAATTGCTGCGAACGGCGGCGAATCGACATTTCACGGTCATCACTAACGCTGGCGGATACAGCCGCAATATTTTCTTCAGTCCTCACTCTACGTCTGCGTGTTGGTGGTTTAATGTCCAATAATGTAAACTGGGTTCGAAATTTAGTTACAAGCTTCCGAATAGCTCCCTCAGTAGGCCGACCAAATTGCCCATAAATTGGAAGCAGTGCTCGATGCACTCTCTTAACCGAGCATGAATTTTGATAGTAAAATTCAATAATTTGCAAGCCTTGTTCGTTCGTAAGTCGATTCATGGTTAAATTATAGACCAAACTGAACAAGTTTGACAATGACACAAGACACGATTCACGCGTCATCTGTCAAAAACAGTGTTGCCAAAAAGATACTAGCAAAAAAATCACCCATTATTTATTTTTCCTCACCGCCTTGTTATATATAGGAGCTCCGTACAGCATAAACCCTGCCAAAATGCTGCACCTCTCACTACTGGAGCCTCCGTCAGATGGCAATGGTCGTATCAGAGATGCAACGACCTTATTTACCTTATATGCTCGATCATGTTCAGACACCTAGATACTTAATTGCATTTTGGCTCCGAATGTCGGCATTATCAACCTTAACAGCTAATGAAGTTAGCTTCTGTTTGACAGAAAGAATAACTATTACTTTTCAGGAGCTAATTTCAAGCCATTTTCTTCCATCCATATGGCAATTGTCGCGATTCCGTAAGCAAAGAGTCCTTAAAGTGAATCTCTCTCTCACTATCATCGCAAGGCCGTCAGCATCTCTAGCCGAAGAACCGGCACGGGTATCATGTAAAAAACCTATAAAACGTCAAAAAAACCTATAAGATGTCAACTTGCAGACTAGGTAGTTTTTAGGGCGCAAACAGTCATTCCACGTTTGCTCACTAGGATCGTTGTGAACGTCCATCTGTGGAGGAATCTCTCAAGTAAACTACGCATTATTGGTTGCATAGTTTTGTGAGGCTGAGTGATTCGGGTCTGTAGTTTTTATTTCTGAGAAGATAGTTGGTTAAACAGCAAGATCGCATCTGGATGATTATGTGTATTGGTCTGCATGTGTATAAAATCAGTGATATTTGCTTTGTGAGAAAATTATCACTGAATATGCCGAATATGACGGGTTCTTTATATGTTGTGCTTTCTGAAGGGAGGTTATGTTCAAAGTTATAAATTACGAAAAACTGAGAAATACGGGAAATCATCACCGCGCCCGCGTTGTGTATAATTACTGTTAGCATGTATATGGCTTGTAATGCGACAGTGTACAGTGAATATGATTATTTCTTATCTCTCATTTTTGAAATTCAGCAAATTTGTGTATGTACTTTCCAGAATGGATAAGAAAAAGTGGATGCGAAACTAATTAATTTCTAGCTTTGAATCTCAATTAAGTGTGTTTGAGACAAGAAACCAATGTAATTATCATCAACACATACGACTTACAGCTTAGACCTCCAGTAATGTCATCTCTGAAGCAGAGATTGATAACAAGCCGAATGACATTTAGGCAACACGTACAACTAAGTGCTAAGTTAACATCTTGTAGAATAACCTACATAATGTCAAAAAAAAAAACAGCATAATGTCAAAAAAAATCGGCATAATGTCACTTTTCAAGATTACGTGATACCCGTGCTGATCGTAGAACCCGTTCCAAGGCAACGGCCCTAGGATGGAGCCCTGCGGCACTCCCACGGTTACCTTCATCGTCTTTTGCCCTACCATAAGTACCCTCTCATCAAAATAGCTTTTTATCATGTACACTAAGTGCATCTATGGTGGATTTTCCCTTTCTGAAACTATATTGCGTTCTTTGCCTCGATGTGATCTCTTATCCTACCTTCCATCAGTCATAACACACATGTTGGAACATTATGTTCGTACGCAAGCGCGTGTTCGCTCTGGAACGGTTTTTCGGCGGGTCGTAACAAGAGTATACTGTCGAAAAATTTAACACAAATTTTCTGTTTCAGATCTTTGTGGATGATGCTTAGCAAAATAACAAGGGATGTCGGCAACGCGTTCGGTTGCTCGATGACTTTTCTTTGCCTCTACCTTTTTATTATCATTACTCTGACCATATACGGCCTTTTATCGCAAATTCAGGGAGGATTTGGCATCAAAGATATTGGTCTGGCGATTACGGCTCTTTTTGCTGGAGCTATGCTATTTTTTATTAGCAACGAGGCACATTATGCTTCAAATTGTGTAAGTTATTGTCGTAGAACGGCGTTAACTGCCTGATTATACTCTGTACAGAACTCATGTGGCATCTAGAAGCTTTACAATGTGCATCTCTCAGAATGTCCATTTTCTTGGCTTAATTGTATTATCACAGCCGACGTCAACTACGAGCCGTGAACAAAGAAATCTGGCAACGTAGGTGGTAGTGTTACTCCCGCCGCTGCTTGCTGCATCGACGCAACTCGTGCTCAAAACGCTGAGAAAACATAATCTTTTCAATTTGTGATTTGGCAATCCCAGAGGCTGTAATTAAGAGATAAGCTTGTTTTCTAAGCTTCAAAGTGTGTGTATGTGTTTAAAGTGATCGGTGACTATAATATATGAGAAATAGACTTTAGTTGTAGTGCTTCTGTGCTTTAAAAATAAACTAAGAAGTGTGACTGTGGCTGTTCGCGCCTCAGACGCTAAGGATTTCAACTATTGAAAACGTGCAAATTGAGGTTGTATTTTTCTTTTTTCATTTATCAAGTATTTGACGCAGACAATATGCCTCGTTGTTGCTGTGTTCCTTTATGCAATGCAAACTATAATTCTGCTTTGAAAACAGAAAGCTATGTTTCAACTTTTCGCTTCCCAAGTACCGAAAGTCTGAAAAACAAATGGCTTATGGCAATTCCCAGAAAAAATTGGACACCTTCAAAATATTCAGCTGTGTGCAGTCGTCATTTTAGAGAATCGGATATCATCAGGACAGAAAATATAGTTTTGGCGGATGGAACAGTCCAAAATAATATACCTTTGAAGTATCCAAAATTGAAAGAAAATGCTGTTCCCTCCATTTTCCCAAACTTGCCATCATATCTTTCAAAAACTGAAGCACCCAAAAGAACTGACCCAATGCAAAGAAAACAAAAATTAATTGAGAAACATGAAAAAGCTATCCAGAATTTCGATGATATGGATAAGATCAAAGACTTTCAAGAATTACATTCTTCATTTTCAAAAACTAAAGCCTCACAGAAATGGAATAATAAATTATCTGATGGAAAGCTATATTTTCATAAATTGGATTTTGAAAATGATATCTTAACTTTGAATACACAGATTATAGTTGATGGTCAGATGGAAGTTCAGGTTGTTCATAAAGGATGTAAGCTTTCTTTTAGTGACTTGAAGTGGGTTTTGCCATATGATCTCAAAATTACCAGATGGTCCCAATTAGAAAACCTGCTAAATAGGTATTTTTTTCTATTTTTCTGAGAACCAACACAAAAACTCTGTTGAAGTTTGCATCATGAATGCATTGGAACAACTTGACACAGCGATTTCCATAATTAATAATGACTCAGTTATGTTTCCATATACAAAAAATCTAGAGATTATTGCTGATCAGCTGAGACAAATTCAAAACAGGAAAAACAGATATGCATCACTTTCAATAATAATGGGTTTTACGTTTTATAACCACTCATCATCAACATATAATTTAATTAAAAGATTTTTTATTTTGCCAAGTAAGCGATACTTACAACATATCTCCTCAAGTATGGATATATCTCCAAAAAAATGATAGGAATAATGAACACTACCTTTCGAATATAGCAATTAAATTAGCTTCAAGAGAAAAAATTGTAATTTTGATGATCGATGAAATTTATATAACATCTAGGCTGGACTATCGCTCACAAAACATTGTTGGGTATGCCTCAAATAAAAATGACATGGCTAAAACTGTTTTAGCCTTCATGCTATCTTCAGCATTTGGAAACATAACAGAAATTATCAAATTACTACCAGTTTCAAATCTAACAGGTGATGAAATGACACCTTTGGTTGAACATGTGATAAATTTAGTTCAAAAATGTGGATAAGAACATATATTTAACTTATGATGTTGTGCATATTTTCAAGAGTATCAGAAATAATTGGATTAATTTAAAAAACTTTTGTATATCCTAATTTTGACAATAATGATATTATTCAGTATGCTAAATTTGAAAACATTCGTGCTGTATATCAATTGGAAAAAGAAGCTGTAGTTAAGAAAGCATATAAATTAAATTATAAAACATTGCATCCAAATTCATTTGAAAGGCAAAATGTAAATTTTGTAGATAATTTATTCCATCACTCAACAATCGCTGCTATGAAAGAATTAAAGTTTAATGATGCTGCACACTTTTTGGAAATAATCAGGAATTGGTGGGATATTGTCAGTAATACAAGTGTAATAAAAGGAGAATTGAAGCGAAACGAATTTTGTAAGCCTATTACCAATAAATATGATTATAGAGTACAATTTTTAAAAAAATTCCTGATATGGTTAGAAAAATGGCATAATCTAGAAGAATCTAGAATAATAATGGACACCTGACACCAGAAACGTATACAGCTCTATATCAAAGCACGCTGACTCTACTTAATATAATTGAATATTCATTTAATCAATTTGACATTGAGTATGTATTGCCTGGAAAATTCACCACTGATAATTTAGAAAAACGATTTGGCAATTATAGACTTTTATGTGGCTGCAATTACAATGTATCATATGATGAAATTTTAAATTCTGAAAAGAAAATACGGCTGAAGCATATTTTCAATGAAAAGAAATCGTCATTTTCTTTAGCAGAAATTAAAACAAGGTTCCAAAACTGCTTAGAAACTCAAGAAAATTTTGATTTCTTGGATACCAAACAAAATCCTGAAGTTTCGGATATATTCAATGAAGTATTTGAGACAAATTACTTAGCCAATTGTGACATAGAGGATAGTACTAAGACTTATATATCTGGATATGCTTCACACGCTATCTCTAAAAACCTAAACTGCGAGATATGCAAATCGCTAATAGTTAATGAAAAAGGTTCATTAACAACAAATGTTTATTTTGATCATTTGCAAAGAGGAGGACTGCCAATTCCAACCAGTTATGTACCAATCATATTCTACCATATGTATGCCATTTTTGAATCTATTATTAATGTAGATAGATTGGAAATTTTCTTCTTGAAAAGCAATAATCAAAAATTTATTTTGTGTCAGTTAACCTTGCTCAGCATTCAGTCTGACTTTATATACAGTGAATTTTCTTTAACTTGCATCTGTGGCCGCAATTATGCAGATATTTTATTTAAGCTTTTGTCTAGTTTTTCAAACATAATTTTGAATGATTATGTAAAATTGAAAAATAACAGTAAAACTGAAAGTAAATGTATTAAAAACAAACAGGTAACTCCACATTTCCAAGCTGGGCCTTTTGGAACACAGTGTGCTGACACCAAAAAACGTAAACTAAATACTTTTAATTAGGTTAACTGCATTAGCGACTCATATATATCACGATTATTTCGTATTTTTAATTTTTTAGAGCTATTTCATATTCAGACGATTTGTATCGAATCGAACTGTCCTCTTTTCCAAAATTAAATTTAGTTCTTGAACGTTACACGGAGACGGAACACACAGCCGCTGGCGGCCGACGTTCACAGGTAGCACCGAGCGCGGTGTTGCCTTTCTTTCATCACGGCTCGTAGTTGACGTCGGCTGTGGTATTATACCCTATTCGTAATCCTTTTACGCCCCGGCACAACAAAGGTGCAGTGCGGCAACGCAGCAGCCGCCTAAGCGTTGCAGTCGCTATTGGTCATTCGGCGATTAAACTACGAACAAGTGCAGGATTCGACAGGATAGAACTCAGGCTCGGGCCCGTGTGTTTATACGTTAACATGTCGTCTACGGATACAGCAGATGAATCTGAGAATATTTCTCCCAATGCATCCTTCAGCCATGCTTCCTTTTCAGTGATATGGCCTCCCCGAAATCGTGACAAGAAGGGACATTTGAATATTCAGGCAAAAGAAAGAGCGAAATTTTAGAGCATCCTGAATTGAAAATTCATGATATTGAAAGACGAATGGCGATCAAAAAAGGCCTATGTCTCAAGGCAGTTTTCAACATTGTTAAAGAATATAAAAAAATTGTCGCCACACAAAGAGGCCACATTACAGGAAGCAGTGGATACAGTTGATCGGAATGCCATCAGTTGCAAAGTTCATCCAGAGACAAAGTATCACAGGAGATTGATAGTGACGAAGATTTACCTACTTTCAAAAGGACCAAATTCTGTAGTTTACTCAAAGAACTTCATTTTGAGTATAGGAAACGGCGCAGAAATAGTATTTTGATGCGCAGCCAAGAGATTGTTTTATGGAGAAGAAATGATTTAGAATCAATAAAGAAATACCGCGACCAGGGCAGGAAGATTTATTACTTGGATGAAACCTGGATAAATGCAGGACATACAAAAACTAAAGTATTGGTTGATTCTACAATTAAATCAGCAAGACAAGCCTTCTGAGATGGACTAACCACCGGTTTAAAGAATCCGTCAGGTTCCAGGAAAGGGAAAACGTTATCTGTCACATTGGCAGTGAAGATGGCTTTGTGCCCACTGCCCTATGGGGATTTGAGTAAAAAAACGACCTACTACCATAAAGAAATGTGTCTTTTATACGATGGTTTAAGGAAACGCTCTCTAAGCTTGACGATAATGCCGTCAGTGTACTTGATAATGCTGCATACCACACTAGAAAACTAGAAAAAATGCCCACAATGCCCACAAGAAAGGCAGAAATTCAATAATGGCTCCTAGCAAGAGACATTAGTTTCAATGAAAATATGGTCAAAGCAGATCTTATCCATCTAGTCAGGCAGCTTAAATATAAATATAACTTTAATGTTATTGACGAAATGGCTAAAAACCAAAATAAGACAGTTTTAAGGTAACCCTTAGAGAAGAATAGAACATCCAAATTTTGACGTATATTCAAATTGAACCTGTAATAATTAATATTAACCATTCAGACGATCAATTAAGTACTTCCAGGAAATGAAGTATGTGCACTTCTTTCTATAAAAATAATCATTTATTTTGTTAGATTATTCCAAGACCATTGAGGAAAATACGGACCTGTACAATATCGCTTTTGGGCATGTTGTGTTTTGTCTGCGCGTAAATGGACTACGAATGGGGTATAGCATTTACTTTTCTGGGAGTGCCTAAAAATCGAACGTAAAATAAAAAATGGATTTGGCGTACACGACATTAAGAAATACCTTATACAGGATGTCCTTAAAAAGTGTGCAATATTCTACCAGCGGTTTCTAGAGCTTAAAATAGGAAGAAAAGTTTATATTAACATAGGTCGAGAAACGTCCCCTAAGGGCGCTACGGTCTTTTAAAGGGGCTTCCCTGAAGATGGTTTTTAATTTTAATATTTCCGAAACGCGTTGAGATAAAGTCATAAAATTTAGTATGCTAGCCTAGTTTTTTATGCTGGATTTAAAACTATTAACAATTTTAGACAGTTTTGTTTGGAAGCGTATGTAACAGGGAAGGACTCAGGTTATTTGAGCCCCAAAGTTTTTGTGTGATTCTATTTTTTAAATTCAATTTTAGAATTTGAAAATTTAGGGTTTTCTACATAAAAAAGGTACTCTCATTGAATATCGATAAATTATGCCATTTTTGCATAAAATCAAACTAAAAAATTTGTCACCTGGTAGGAGATGTACTGTGAATTTAAATGAATTGTTGATTATACATAGTTAGCCATAACTGCAAACAAAAGTTGTTTTGATTTGTTATGA